CCTTGTCAAGATGGAAGATCAGAACCTGTAAAACACAGTTGTTGCATTCATGTCAACATTTCTCTGACTACCGATGGATATCATTTGGCATTGTTTTCGCCAAAGAAATGAGAACAGATGGTTTGATGAATACTACGTCGGATAAGAGGTAAAAAATTCATTAGTCTGTAGCCAAAAAATAATGGCTCTGTTTATCGCGAACCCGTTTTCGGTATATGTACTACTTTGGGTGTCACTGGCCTTCGTGAATGTTTCCTAATGCTGTGTCGATCTCATGGTCGATCTTAGAGTTGGTCTTAGGATTCGTGTCGATTATAATTTTTTTGTAGGGTAAATCATTTACATTGCTGTTTGTCACTATATAAGCCAACATGTAAAAAGTTACTCAAATTGTACAGTAACTGACCGCATATACGTCACTGTTTTACTTCATAATAATTTATCGTACTTTTTTAGTTGAAAAAATTGACGAAGACCGCGTGTATGATTTAATGACCCTCGCCTGTGACAAAGACTGGTATATTGCATGCCCAGAGCTGGCCCTTTTGTTGTTGAAAGGCACGAAGAAGCATGCGGTTGATGTACCTCGTGCATTTGAACTGTTGGAAAAGTCTTGTGAAGCTGAAATAGTCGAGTCTTGCTTTTGGCTTGACAAGAAGTTTACATCGGGCTACCGAGAAATAAAGCCAAACTTTGAAAAGGCATTCAAGTTTGCAATGAAGTCATGCTTACTGGGCCTCCCTCAAGGTTGTGACAGTGTGAGTCGTCACTATGAGCACGGAGAAGGCATCCAGAAAGACGAGGAAAAGGCTAGGCAGTATGCCGATTTAGCCGCACAAATTAGAGAAGAAATGAGAAAATCGATTCCTACCGGATTGTCAGGCTGAACAGCTGAACTGATCTTCGTGCCCATGGCTCGTATGTGTTCATGACGTTCGCTGATACTCCAGTTCTTAGCGTACTGGCACAAATTAGTCAATTTTATTTTTTATAATAGATTTTTGGAAACAGGGTTCATTCAATTTACGGGCTGATAGTCGAATTGGCGTTGGTTGTGCTTTCGATTATTTTCAAAACAGCAAATTTCAGTTTCTTTGTTGCATTTCGGTGCTGACGAATAAATTAGGTACAATTTTACCAACTGGTTTTAGGTAGTTGCTTAAAGTTTTTGAAGTCAATGTTTATATATTTTATATGCACAATTTAATAACGCTTCATTAAAAAAAGTTATGACAAATCCATTTGTGCTCAGTATTAGCCGTTACGGCTTATGCAATGTTCTATATTCATTTATTAGATTCAGTGATCGACTCATGAACAGTAATGGCTAGGCGATCATGTTATGCGACATATTATTTCTTATATGGTGTTCCAACATTATACCATGTCATAAAAAGTTCTGGCATGTGTACGGAAAGGTTATTTGGTGTAACTTGTACTAAACATGCGAAAAGGAAATTCGACCAGGCACGACGAAGGCTACGTTCGTCTGTCAGGATTACCGCCTAACAGCATGACCTAATCCTCGTCTCGTTTTGCTCATACGCCTCGATAGTGCCATTGGATGGACGTAGATCCGATAAGCCGTTTCGCTTGGATCATCTTCGACGTGAAATAGTGTACTTCTTCTGTGAGCTGCTGAAACAGTAGAAGATTGGCATGAATTATGTCCTGAAATATCTGAATGTCGATTCCTAGCATAACTGATCACTTAGCATTTGGCTACTCCAGTTTCAAATATTGCAAGATGTTTTCTCTGACGAACTTGTAAATTACAAGTTGTATTGCTGCAGTGCGCATAAATAAATACAAGTCCACCACTTAATGATGATTCTATTTTTGGACATTAGCATATATCAACAACCACATTCGATTCTTTCACGTTTCAATGAACATAAACAATTTAGCAATGTTGTTTTCTACGACTAGAGCTGCGGGCTTTAACTAGGTCATAGCATTAAGGCCAAGCTAAAATCAGTTATGGTCTTGATTTTCATCCAAGTACTTCATTTTGAACTTAATGCTTTTCATTCATAACTGTTCTTTTCCCGTTCTCCTTCCATTTTAATTCTTATTTAACAGCGCTTAGGCTATGATTTAAACAAAGTCGGTGCCTTAAGGTTAAGCTTAATTTATTCGGTCTAAACTTTGCCTCTGAGCTCACATTGTGAGGGAGCCTAATCTTATATCTTATGTGAAAATGTATCCACTCCGTTCACTTATCCATTTAAATACTGTTTTACTTTGCTTATTCACACGTTTCAACAATGTCGTAAATCTTCGGTTAGGCCAGTTATATCGGCGGCCTTGGCTTTATCATACGACTCCTATTCTTGTTGAAAATAACCTTCATATTTGGGCTAAATTATTGTCGGTTTCTCTCTGGGAGATTCCATGTTGGTGTCATGCTGAGGCTTAAAGAAAGTTAGTTGTTGCACCTGCTGTGCGATGTTTAGATTGATCCCAAGAAAGAACAATTATAATTGGACCGGACTCTGGTCAGCCTTATAGAGGTCGACTTTTTTAGTGCGTCAGGTTATGGCAAATTATTCCATGCCTTGCAATTCATCTGAGTAAGTAGACTAAAAAATTCGACGACAGACAGACAAACAGACTGACTGACCGATACGCTAGTAGACTGAAAGCGCATCTGTTCAAATTCACGCTACCTCTCACAGAATTGTTTTCTCTACTTTATCAAAGTCATCTTTGGAAACCAAAACTTGTATATGCGTTTGGCCTGTGTTGTAAATGAAGGGAATAAATGATTATTGGTGTTCGTGACAAAACGAACACCAATAATCATCGACGTATAATTTCGTCGATTTTAGTAAGCTTAGCAATGACGGTTGCAAGTGAATGAATTGAACAGTCACTAAATGGAATGAAGATCATTTTGAGATTTATCTTTTCCTCAGAACTCACATTCTTATGAATCTAAATTCCTGTATAAATCTTCGGGCGTTTATGGCACAACCTAAAGTGCAGGATTCGAATCCAAAAAAAGAACATTTCTTTTAACCGATAGCTTTCTTGATCAAGGAATTTGCTGCACTTTGTTTCGCCACCGCTAGCCGAGAAACGGGTAGCATATTTGTCAAGTTTGGGTGTGAGGTAGGGTCATGCTGCTTGATACTAGTGCGTCCTGGGGATACACTTCACCCCTACCCATCTAGTACACAACTACTCAGTTTGATCATCTGCGGGAGGTGTAACTCATACTATCATATAAATATCTGTTAATCAAAATATTTCTATATTTCGGTACTTAACCATATGTAGCAGTGTCAGCAGGCACGTAAAAGGTGGAATCCAAATTCCGGATTAAACATCAAAAAGTGCTTGTCATAAGGTGAACGGCTCCCGGACAAACGAGGCATTCGCCTGGGAGCAAGCGGAAAATTTTTTATGATATATTAACAAAAGCGTTGCACTTGAATCAAGCATTTAATACCTAAATGTTCATATTTACAATTCTTTTCGTTAATTCTACGCTAAATAAATGTATGAACTCAATGACCAGTTAACGTCTAACGGATGTTTTCTAAAGTTAGCTTTCGAACAACAATAGGACAGTGCTTGACTTACTGCAAGCAATAGCATTTTATTCTGAACTGCGCAGTAATTTTACACTTTGTGACAGAATTGACCGAAAGGATAGGATGTTCTATAGCCTTGGTATCGGAGGGATCTGTGTCATCGTTTTTAATTAGTTTTCAACCGTGAATCGATATGCAAAGATCATTAACGGCTAAGACATCCATTTACTGACTTCCTCGACATCGGAAACCATTAATCCATTCAGAAAAAGAAATAAACTCACTAATAAAATCGGATTATTGCATTACTGTCTATTTAAATCAAGTGTGTGGCGCCAGCTATAAGTGAACTCAAAACCATGAGGTCAGAAAGTCTTAAGCCGAGAGTACCTCGAAAATAATATGATTCGTTAATCAATTCCATTTCACACTGAACATATCAATCTGGTGATTAGCCGTTAATTAAACATTTAGAAATTGTGGAAGCAATTGCCACTGAAAATGAAAGATTGTTTTATCAGAATTCGTGACAAATGATAGACTAATGATACATGCATAATGTCAGGTTCAATAATCTAAAAGTCCTTTAAGGAATTATATCGCATTTAAAATTTGTTATATATAAGTTCTTCATTGTTGCGGATCATACTCGAGTTGTCTTCAAGGAGCGACATATTATTAACACGATGCTACCGACGATGTCAGTGCGCATGGGTACAAACTTTGTTTCAGTGCTAACTTACATCCATGCCGATCGTTATTCATGCATTGTTTGACTTGTATTTTTATCACATACCAATGTGATTGAATTGTCTTTTGTATCTTAGGGTAAAAGCTTCACTCTTCGTGTATTCCCGACATGTAGTCCTGTAATATAAACGTTTGTCCTTGTATCGCATTTCGCGTAGTTCTGTTCGCATTCTTGCTTCATCACGCGTGAATTGTTTGTTCGTCTTCGCTCTTTACGTTTTCGTGCTTGTCCATTCTGATTTAAACTGCCGTTCCGCCAGCTAGTCATGTTACTGAAGGGCTGAATATTGTCATATGATGTATTTGGTAATATCTTCTCTGACTAGCAAAAGCATATATTCGCAACAGCGTAGCATCTGTTGCCTCCAATATCCGACGGCGATCGCATGGAAGAACGTCCAACTGCACAGAATTCTTTTTCTAGATGTACACCTTCTGTTAAGGCTTATTGTGCTTTGGTCCATAAACCCGTTTAGAACAGATGTGTCGCGTAGGTTGAGTAGCGAACAAGTTATCATCACGTAGTCTCTCGGTTACTAGCGAAAATCACACCGACATAACGGCTCAAGAGAAACATGCGAGTAACTGTGTGGCTGAGAGGTCATCGGACGATCAAAATTAACGAATACAAAAAGCAAATCGAAGTTAATCATTTATCCGAGATAGACTGTATGTGCGTTGTCCGGGGACTGATGACTGCATTGCATTACTGCAAAGCGAAATTCAAACAAACAATATGACGCCATCAACTAAATAAACAACCGTGGTCGCGAGGCTCTACGAGCTGCCAGAATTAAAATTCGACTGATAAGAAAACAAATGTCGACCTATAGGTGTAATCCACTGATTTAACCTAATGAAAATATCTCCTCGGTAATTGTTGCGATTCTTAGCTGCAGCGAAAGCCTTGAATCCCTGAGGCAACCATCATTTGACTGCTTTGTGCCTAGATGGAACTGAACAATCTCTATGACTTCCATGACAAGTGTAAAAGTCAAAAATGATTCAGTGTATTGTATTCGACAAAATCTAGCCTAATATTCTAACCTCTTGTCTGAATCGTCAGGGCCAGGGAATGTCCAATGTAAAAGAATGCCTTGCAGGGTGAAATCCGGTGGAGTTTTATTTCCCTAACCG